CTGTCAACATTATTGTCGCTTTTTGGGGTACCCTAAATATTAGGTGCCGTATTGTGAGAGGGATCCAAAAAGGGACCAGAATTTCGACAACCACCCATACGTTGCGAGGAAAGGGTAACCGAGTTGAAGATTCTTCAGAAGAACTCCAAGCGCTCCACCGGCCTCATCGTCCACCAACTTCCTTCGTCTGAAGGATTTAGGGATACAGGCTTTTTGGGGTTTATGATTGTTATAAGCCCTAAACCCTAAACCCTAAAGCCTAAACCCTAATCCCTAAACCTTCGCGCTGTTTCCCAAACGTTGGCTTGGGCTTGTAGAATAAGGAGGTTGCAGGAGATTTGGGGAGCCCGCGCCCATCAGCCTCCAATTCGCTTTAGGGTTTAGGGTTTAATGGTTTAGGGTTAGGATTTAGGGTTTAGGGTTTAGGATTTAGTCCCTACCAAGAACCAGGGATTTCAGGGGCTTCATCAAGGAACCTACGTCTACGGGGGAAATACAACCGGGGTGTGTTGCTGAATCACGCTCCGAACCAGTAAAAGTTCTAAGACGCCAAACCCATCCGAGATTCTCCAGGCTCGAAGGCCCGAAAAAGCTGTCGCATGCAGGTATGCAGTCCGCACTCAGGAAGAAGGCGAAAGACCACCGGTGATCATGCTGCGCCGCCTGAAGCGAAGGCACGGTACGCACGCCTTTGTGGCTTTTTTTGTCGAAGTTTACGCAGCTTCTGTCAAACGGCTGGTGGCGCTGTTTGACAAAAAGCCCAACACATGGGGTGGCACCCCATCCTCCTATCAGACGGCCCCATCGTCCTATCAGACCGCTGCCCCTAGGACTCTGAATGTTCAGGGCCGCCCTCCAGGACCGCCTCAAACCTAACATGCTCGATGAGCCCCAACACCTGCCTAAACCTTTCGGGCGCTAGGTGAGGTGAATATTTTGGTCCCCACGTCATCCCCAACACATGTCCGAGCTTCTGTAAGCTGCTTGTTGTGCTCAGGCTTGAGAAGGCCTTCCCAACTGCCTGGCTCTCTGGATGGATGCATGTGTGGCCCGGGGCCCGCAGCAGAACCCGAAACCCCAAATTCCTACCCCCCACCTCAACTCTTGTCTCTCCCAGCCCCACGACCCCCAAGAAAGCGCTTTTGAAGGTTTATCCAGCGCACTGGCCCTTAACCTAAAGAACATGCCTCAATTCAAACTCCTGACGGCCTAAACCCTAAACCCTAAACCCTAAACCCTAAACCCTAAAAAATGGCTCCGCAGGTCTTAGGGCTCCAGAGGGCCCAGGTTTGAACACACAGATCAATCTCCAAACATTTCCAAACCCTAGGTTTCTCCGGCCTCAAAGAAAGGCAGCCCTCCACTATTTTGAGAAGCCCTAACCCTCAACAAGGTTGAGAAAGGGTTCCCCTGGCGGTCGTAGAAAACGGCTGAATCCCAACAATCCTTGCCGTCGAGCAGCCATGGATCTTGTTCAAGTTATCTCCGCCTGTGCTGGTTGTTCTAAGTGCAGGTCCCTTTTGGATGGGGCATTTGTCTGAACCCAACGCACCCCACCCCACCCCCCCGCCCTCCCACCCCCCACCCCCCCCGCCCTCCCACCCCCACCACCCCCCCCCCCCAACACACCCCCCCCCCCACCCCACACCCACCCCCCCCCACCCCCCCCCCCCCCACACCCACCCCCCCCCCCCCCCCCCCCCCCCAACCCCCCCCCAAAAACAAAGAAAAGAAGACTGTGATCCTGCACCCTTCGTCTTTGTAACTTCAAGCTCCTTCCTGTGGGTCTATCCCCCCCGGGTCTAGGATTTATGGGGGATTTAGGGAATTTGGGGTCCCCAAGTCCCACAAACACCCAAAAGAACGTCAGGATTCAGCCGGTGCAGGGCCTGCGGGGTCCTGCTACCTTGCAGTGTGTCCCTGAACCCTGACCCCCTAAGCCTCTTGAGGTTTTGCGGGGGTGTCAAGCTTGGAGCCTTCTGGATTTAGGGCCAGTTTAGGAACCCTAAACCCTAAACCTTGAACCCTGCCCTGCAACAACTCCGAGCCTACACCGCACCCGGGCACTGCAAGCAGCACGGCGTCAAACAAGCCTGCATGGCTTGGCCCAGAGGCCCCACTACCCCTGAATTGAGCAAGTCTTAAGTTTACAAGAGAGCCACAAACGAGTTGCCTTAACCTCATAGTCAGATTCAGAATGAAAAACAAAGTGGAGTATTCCTGAATTCCTGCATGAAGGGGTCTAACTTAAACGCAACCATTCGTTATATGAAGCCCTGTTAGTTGCCCAAGTCTGAACCCGACTAGTTTCAGGGTTTGTTTCGGCTTGGGTTACGCGGTTTCGGGGGTTTGAACTGTTTGGGGGTGTTGAGGCCTTCCAGCCCACCCTCTTCAATCCTCCAGAAGCGTATTCCCTAAGGGATGTTCCCTGATTTTTCGGTTTCGGCCCGGGGAATTACTACAGGGCGGAGGGCCCGAATTCAACTTGAGAGCTGACGTGGGGTACCTTCAATCTCCCCAAAGGGAAGGTTTGGGGTTTAAGGTTTCAAGTTTGGGAAGGGGGTTTGGGGGGGGGGATACGAAGTTGAGGGGCCTGGTGACGTTTTCGTCAGCAAAGCACCTAGATTCCCAACCATGAACGCTAGAAGCCCTAGTTACTGCATAACTCCTACAACCCCTGTGTACGACCCTTGAAACCATCAATCTTTTAAACCCTAAATGCATAAGCTCGAAGCCCCATATTGGGCTGCCGCCTGGTGCGCCATCAAAAGGCCGTGCGCGCCAGACGCCGTTCTGCCTTCAGAGCATCTTACTACGGTTTAGGCTGTTTAGGTTGCAGGGGTTCAGAACTCAGGGGCTGAGCTTCCATTGTTAGGGGTCTATGGCTAGGGTGGGCAATTTGATCTACTTGAAGAAGTGAGTTGACATTGAAGGAAAAAACAATGATTGTACTTCGAACATCCCCACCCTCTCTTGGTAGAGATACTCTGGGGTTGGGCACTCCAGGGACGCTCTGGGGCTGGGCACTCCGGGGACACTCTGGAATTGGGCACTCCAGGTATTGGGCACTCCAGGGAGTCTGGAGCAGGGCACTCCAGCAAGACTCGGGTTGGGCTCTAGAGTTGGGCACTCCAGGGATGAGCGAGGAGTAGACCGGGCGAGGAGAAGAGTTCCGGGCGAGGAGAAGAGTTGAGTTTAACATCTAACAACCACACCGAGGGTGGGAAAAAAACAAAGAGCCACGGGTTAGATGGACAATGATAATGACATCCTGAACTGACAAGCTGAGCATGCGAGAATCCGAGGTTATTTCGTTTTGCAAGCTAACTCCAAAGGAGAGGTATAACTCGAACGACCGCAAAGTAAAACTTCGTTGCCTGATTTGTGCCCATAATCCTCTCTCCCGGAACCCCTCAACCCCAAACCCGAACCCCTAAGCGAAGGCGCAGGTCCAGGGCTGCCACTCGTTTTTCGTAGTGCGGAGTGGCACCGGCCTGTGGACAGGAAATTGACAACTTTCTATCTTACGGTCACATCTTGACATTGCGTTGTTATCCTCTTAATGTCTGGTGTCTGATATGCTTCGCTCATGCACCATCATTATTATTACTATGATTCCAAGGGAAAGATATTCATGGTGTTCCTTTCAGATCTAGTAATTCAAGGTAGTAAAGGATGTGCTTTATGGGGCCGCTATTAAGACAATAACTGAGCTCCCGCCCGAAGGAAAGACAAAGACAAGGGTTACGTTAATCTTATTACTAAAGGCATGAGCGAATGTACGAAATTGTCATATTGTGCTCACGCCTACACAATAATAATAGTAGTAATGCTGCGTGAAAGAACAAGAACAACAACAATATGAACGCAGCACATGCGCTACAATTAGGAAAGGCCTTCATGGTGAGTTTCTTATTTAAAAAAATAGAAGCTGGCAGGTGAGGCAGCAAAATACCGTCAAGTGGTCCCTTGTGCTACTTCGGAGGAATCGGAGGACGCCCCATAGCATCGCCATCCTTATGGTCCATGCCTGACAAGAAGGAAGGGCCCGCCAGAGAAACCTCACAAAAGGAGGCATTTGTTTTGAAATCTTGGACTTGCACTTCTTGGGTTTAGATCTCACTTCTGCGCTGTGCATTTTTCACATTGAACTTGCTGCGTTTGTTTCAGTCTTGAAGCCGCACTTCTTGTGACAACTCTCATCTTGGATTATGATTGTGTGTGTGCGCGTTGACAGTCGGAATTTTCTAGCAAAAGGAAATTTGCACTTCTTTGGCAACTCTTATTTGTCTGTGCTGTGACAGTCGCATTTTACATCGAAAAGGATTTTGCCTTTCATTTGGCATTTCTCATCTTTGCGTTGTTGCTGTGTGCTATCACAATCGGACTTTATACCGCAAAAGGGTGCATGTTCAAGTCTTGGATTTGCACGCTTTTGGCAGTTCTTATTTCGCATTGCGGCTGCCGAATTTCTACGTCGAAAAGGCTGCATCTTCTCGAACCGCGCATTCACACTTCTTTTGGCAGTTCTCATTTTTGATTGTGGTTGTGTGCTTTGACGGTCGGACTTTACATCACAAGAGGAGTTGCTCAAATCTTGGATTTGCACATCTTTTGGCAGTTCTTATTTCGTATTGTGGCTGTGCTTGTTTGGCTTACGCTTTTGGGGTGTTTGGGTTTAAGGGTTTGGGGTGTAGGACTTGAGGGTTTGGGGTTTGGGGAGGCGGGAGAGGGAAGGGAGGCGGGAAAGGGAAGGGTTACCGTTGGAGAATGCGCAGAGCAACCACGTATGCGCTTGCCAGTGTTTTTATGGATTTTCATCATGGAACCCAAATATACATGAACATGAATGTAAAGTGAACAAAATTCATTAAACAAAGTACTCGGCCAAACGCCTGAATGTCACGTAGGGTTCACATCATCATTAACGGTGTCAGTCTTGCTGTTGGTTAGCTTCACACAGGAACCCAAAACCCATGGCAAGTTGCCAAGGCACTCGCCTCCTCAATCAGTGCCTTCAGCGCGTCATTGACACCGCCTGCGGTCCCAGCCAAATGCTCCCAGTCGCCTCAGCTGTTGGACACAGGTTTTATGCTTTTTTCCCGAAGCTTATCTCACCAAAAGTCGGCTCCCTGGACTGAAAGCTTCTAAACCAAAAGAAAGGACTTTCGGGGCACGGGCAAGACGGCAAAGGGTTTGGTTTTTGGGGGGGCCGGGGCCCTGAACCCTAAACCTTGTGTTTAGGACAGTATTTCTGGGATTCGGGATTCAGGAAATTCAGGGCTTTAGCCCTGTAGGGCTTCCGTGGTGTTTCGGGATGCTTGGGGCTTTAAGGGGTGGTGTTTGGGGGAGGCTAACTTCCACCCAGCCGCGCTGCCGCTCGGGCGTTGCAGAAAGCTGAGCTGGGGACACCTGCAGAATGGAGACGTGGCCATAAAGGGTGGGCACAACCTCCCCAGTTACCCTAAGCCCTATGCCTGGACCCTTGAACAGCCTCCCCCTAAACCCCCCCCCTCCGTACCCAAAGTACAGAAGGTTTCTTCGAAATCTTGCAAGACTATTTGGACTGGGAGGCCACGCACGCTGCTACCCTAGAAAAACCCTGCAAATACAGAATGTAGTCCCGATATACTCAAAATAATGAGACCATAACCCCTAAACCCTATACCTGTAAGAGCTGGCCCATAAAACCCGTTGTGATTTTCGGTTTGGGGTCCTACTAGAAATTAGGGGTTTCGGGTTTAGATCCCCTTAACAGCAGACCTGAAGCCCAAACCCTCGAGGAGGATCCTGCCTCATCATAAGGGAATCCTACTATTTGAGGATCGATATTAGGGGTACCTTATTTTCGTAACCCCCAAATAAGCCCAGAGGGTTGCACCTTGGCGCAGATGCCCTTGGCCAAGAGCAGCTCGGACACTTGAGTGCTCGCAGCATCCGCAGGGTCAAGGGACAGATACCTGAGATGACAGAGTGTCATGTTTCCACCGAAGCCCGAAGCCCTACAGCCTAAACCCTAAACCCTAAACTGGGTCAGGCTACAAATGGCTTGGGACTTGGGAGGTGTACGTTCACCAAGACTGGAGCTTGGGGGTTGAAAGGCTAAACCCTAAACCCGAAACTCTAGGATCCTTCCCCGCACTCGCCCCGACTTAACACACTAGCTCAAATTTGCTAGCTGTCTCAACAAACTGAGAAGGCCGCGTGTATGGGGGAAATCTTGAACCCATGATTACAAACGCATCTTGTGGCGTTCTCCGGGTAATGTAGCCTTCTCATAATTTTTTGCAAAATTGGGAGAAAATTCTCGATTGTGGGGGAGGGCTCCGCAGAAACACTAAACCCCTAAACCCTAAACCCTAAACCTTAGGTCTGGGGCCGTGCCGGAAAGCCTGAGCCCCCCTACTTCTAAAGACCCCAGAGCCCGGGAAACTCCCAGGAAGAAACGTTTTGGGGGTTTAGGGCTTAGGGTTTAGGGTTGAGCGTTGAGGGTTTCGGGTTCGACGAGCCACTGGGCCCCCATGTCCGCACGCACAGTGCTTCCATCGATATCCTGCCGGTTCGTGCTCATGCGACCACCTCCGCGAGGAGGACTTAAGCTTGACAGGTTATCTGTACACATATCTCTTACCTTGAACCCAAAACCCTATAGGGTTTAGGGCTCAAGGTAAGAGATATGTCCCTAAACCCTAAACCCCAAACCCCAAACCCTCAACTTCTTCTCACAGGAAGAGTGCTCGAAGCCCTGCTATGCCGTGGGGGTTCGTCGGGTTCCGGGATTCAGGGGTTGCAAGCCTGGGAGATGATATGTTGGGTTTAGGGTTAGGGTTTAGGGTTTAGGGTTTAGGGTTTAGGGTTTAGGGTTTAGGGTTTAGGGTTTAGGGTTTAGGGTTTAGGGTTTAGGGCTTAGAATGGCCGGAGTTCTTGACACGCGAAGCCCATCAGTAGGCTCGCGGCAGGCTGATGTTTTAGAGGGTTGAGGCTCGAGGCAGTCTGGAATGTAGAGGTTTCAGGTTTCAACCCTAAACCCTAAACCCTAAACCCTAAACCCTAAACCCTAACCCTAAACCCTAAACCCTGAACTCCTGCAATCCGTAGCCGTAAAACATCGGAAAACCAGTCAGGGACTGAGGGGCGCCAAACGGAAGGACTTCCCAAACCCTAAGCCCAAAAACCCTTAGTTAAACCCCAAAACCCTAAATCACACCCTTGAACCCGAAGCCCTAAAGGAGAACCCGAAACCCTAAGTAAGCCCTTACAACCCACAACCCGCAACCCTAAACCCTTGCAGCCTTCAACCTCTGACACGTCGCAAAAGGGGAGCCCCTGCCTGGTCCCCGAGCCTTCTCCCAGACCTGCATCTTCGGGTTTAGGGTTTAGGGTTTCGGGTTTGGGGTTTAGGGTTTCAGGTTTGGGGTTTCGGGTTTAGGGTACTGGGTGTGGGGCGTAGGGCTTAGGGCCTGGGGGTTCAGGGTAGGATGGACGGAGGGTTTTAGGGCTTCTTGGGGATTTCCAAAGATTTGTTGAACAGCCCGCTTTGGAGAGCTGAAGGCGTTTGGAAGCAACCAGAGGAAAAAGAAATCCCCCCAAAGAGAGAACCCCTTGTTGGTTTTATGGGGTTGCTATAAGGGAACCCCAACCCCTACACCCTAAACCCTAAACCCTGGGAAGAAAGGTACTACCTAGTGGACCGAGCCCGCCAAAGGCTTAACATAGGGGCCTGAAAAAATTAGAACAGAGTTTTTGGGGGCTTATGAACCCCAAACCCCAAACCCCAAACCCTAAACCCTAGGGGAACACTAGTAGTAATTATTCCGACCCCCATATTTCCCACCCGCCGGCGCGCCTCCAACTTGGCCTCCACGCCCAGCTGGCGCAGCCGCAGCGCAGCTGAAGACCTTGGGTAGGGTTTAGGGTTTAGGGTTCAGGGTTCAGGGTTTGGGGTTTAGGGTTTAGGGTTTGGGGTTTGGGGTTTAGGGTTTGGGGTTTAGGGTTTAGGGTTTGGGGTTTAGGGTTTGGGGTTTGGGGTTTGGGGTTTGGGCTTTAGGGTTTAGGGTTTCATGCAGGGACGTACGGGTTCATGGGTCCATGTGTTCGAGTTCGTCAAAGACCCCGTTTGACGCTGTGACGACCAAATAGCCCCCAAACCCTATGTTCCCCAATCCTGCGCCCTAGGATTTTCTAGCACCTGTCGACAATCACCCAAAAATTCTGAACCTTAAGCCCATTCCTCTCGCCCTGAGGCTAAGAGCTGTATTTGGAGCCCTGTAGCGCACCGAGACTTGCACCTCGACGTGCCCCAAGCTGAAACCCTTTCGGGTTTTGGGAACGCGGGGCGAGGATTTACATTCAATACTGTTGGTCAACACTGTTGGTTCGAGAATGAACACTACCAGCCTTCCGAAAATTTGCAAAAAAATGGAAGACCTTAGAGGGCTACCTTAGGGGGCTTCGAGGTTTTGTAGGGCTTCTCTTAAGAAGCGCCCAGGAGCCCGGTAGCGCCCGCGCCCACGATGAGTACGCGGTGCATGACGAGACTTCGACCTCAGGCTGCGGCTGTGACCGGATGCCACAGCTTGTGAGGAAGCTTAATTGACACCTTGACAAAGAAGAAGTGTTAATGGGGCTTATGAGGAAACGTAACACCTTGAATAAGAAACAAGGGGAAGAAAGGAGTCGTCCTGTGGCTGCGAGCTTTTGCCCTCGTCTGCTGTTCAAGGTATTTCAAAAAGCTTGAGCCTGAACCAAGCCCGAAACCCTAAACCCCCGCTACCCTAACACCTTGCAACCCGAAAACCTTCAAACCCGAAACCCTAAAGTGCGGCAAAGGAACAGCCAGTCGCACGACCGGGATCGGGCCGCAGAGGTGTGACTTACGATGCTCCCAGTACGTCGACTTTCTCACACACACACACACATACAAGCCAGTCTTATCAACATGGCAGGACTATTCTTCTACATTTTAGGGCTCCTCATGTGGAGCAACCGAAGAATTATCATGGATTTTTGAAGGGAACAAAGCCCATGACAAACAGGAATGCGGCTACTGCAGGGTAAGGGTTTGGGGCTCAGGGTTGTTGGGGTGTCCAACTGGTGCTGGCTCTTGAACTTTGGTGCCTCAGGGTGAATATCCTTACCTTCCCCTTCTTTTCTGGATTGCAGGTTGAAAGGGCTTACTCAGCGGCTTCACAAACTCACTAGAAGAATACCGTCCTGGTCCTCATCATGATAACCGGCAAACTTTGAACATGATCTCCACAAGCTGCCTGCTTTGGAGTGTTTATTGGCCTGCCGAGGTTCATCAGTGGTTGTGAAAAATATCATGGCAACTGAAATGTTGGGCGCTTATGCAGTTGAAGCCAATGGCTGCGGTACCCCCAAGGCTTGGTCCTTCGGCGGTGAACAAAACCCTAAACAGGGTATGCACGACGAGAGGCTCACACCCAAATGCAATGCCCTCCTGACAGCCTCAAGTGCCTACATCCCCCACCCCCCCGCCCCCAGCCCGGGAGATGTGGCTCATTGAATTGATGCGGGCTTGTCTTGTTTGGCCTTTCCTTAGGCCTTCGGGAAGCAAATAACAAAACAACATCATGGTGCGAGAGCCGATCCCTCCCGATGTCAAGAGGGTTGCGGGTTGGGTCCGCATTGCTTGCCAAGCCCCCCTAGGCCCTGAACTTTTAAACCCAAAAAAGAATTCCTCAACTTAACCCCCTTAAGCCCAATAAGCGTCAATATGACAATATCCACTCCCAACTGAAGAGGCCGTTTTAAAGCCGCTGAAACCCTAAACTACTAACCGAGATTCCAGAAAGATGAAAAACACAGCCACTCGAAACAAAGTTACTAAGCTCTAAGAAGTCTACCAACTCCTTATTTTGTGGAGTGTTACAGTGCAGGCAACGGGAGTCAAACAACCATTAGCCTTCCGCACAAAGCCTCAAACCTAAACCCTAGCAACCCTAGCAACCCCAGCAACCCCAGCAACCCCAGCAACCCCAGCAACCCTAGCAACCCTAGCAACCCTAAACTCCGAAGCGCACTCGGCGCGCCTTTCTCGGCGTCCGCCTCCTTCTTCTTCTGCTTCTCCTTCTCCTTAACCCCTGGGACTTCATGACCTGCAGGCCGTCTTGGCTTCAGGATTATGCTGGGTTTAAGTGGTTGTATGATGAGTTCCAACACCCAGATGCTTCTTTATCTGAAGCGAATCGGGCTCTCAGCCCTCAACTGTTGCCTCGACAGCACAGCGCTGTCGTAGCGCCTAGCGGCCCCGCTTAGATCGCGTGCATTTTGGCTCCTGTTCGCGCTGTCTCCTGGGGCCAGTGGGCCCTCGCGCTGCTCTCCAAGGCCTGCGCACTTGCTTGTATTCCGGTCAACATCGCGCTCTCGCCTGCGCGCAGATGGTTTTAGTTCGGGCCCCAGGCCCGATTTTACTGTCACGACGCCTCGGCGGCACCCGCTTCGAAGGACATGTAAGCGAAGACAACTTCTGCCTCGGGAGAAGTCTTACGTGCTATTCGTGCTTCATCACTTTTCAGACTGAGTCTGACCCTAAACCCTAAACCCTAAACCCTAAACTAAACCCTAAACCCTACCACCCAAACGCTGGAGCCCAACAAATGCTTGTTCACTGGCCTGCGAAGCCGCAGAAGGCGCCGGAGGCGATGAAATCCACCGCCCCACCGTCGGGGGGCGCGCACGCCTGGCAATGAGGGGGGTTTAGGGTTTAGGGTTTAGGTTTGAGGCTTAGTGGTTTCGGGGGCTTATGGGGCTTTTTGTCGGGCTGAGGTGTTAGGGTTTCGCACAGCCCTGAGCCCTAATAAGAGCCCTAGGAAAGCCTATAAGCCCCAGAATCCTGAACCTTAAAGCCTTGAACCATTAAACCCTTAAGCCCCAACCCCCGTTTCATCAGTAGACCCCCAAACCCACACCCTAAACCCTAAACCCTAAACCCTAAACCCTAAACCCTAAACCCTCGAATCCCTAAACCCTCGAATCCCTGGCCTGGAGCCGCTTCTCCACGTCCGGATCAAGGCCCAGCGGCAGCAAGATGTGGAGCCTGAGATACGGTTCCCATATGCTAACACAAATTCCCAACCCCCTCCCCCCCCCTCCCCCCCCGATTCCCTAGTTTAGGGTTTAGGGTTTAGGGTTTAGGGTTTAGGGTTTAGGGTTTAGGGTCTGGGGCTTTGGGTTCTATAGGGTTCTTAAACAAGCCTCCTTCCGGTAGGCCCCTACATACTGATGAGTTTGCCCCTCAACTCCAAAACCGTATACCTCTTTTTAAGGGCATATGGTGGCATACGGGTTGCAGCCTCTAAGACAAGGCGGCTTGACTGAAAATCTAATGGATGGCAAGAAACACGCGAGAAAACTACCGAATATGTTGGGTCTGACTTGGAATGGGCTGATGCCAAGCCCTAAGGTTCTGTTAGGCGTCCTGGCAAGAGGCTTGGCATTGAAGGCTTCAGGGCTATTCGTACGGGGCTTGGGGTCCTGGACTTAAGGATTCTTGTGTTTTGGGTGTTTCAGGGGGTTGAAAAGGCTTACGGGCTCGGAGGGCTTTGGGGTTCAGGGAGGTTTCGGGGCTTGGGGGAGTTTAGGGTTCTGCGGATATTGACTTCGATCGGAACCTTTAGCCCCCAGCAGATGCTGAGGGGAGAGTTTTCTCGATTCTCGATCTGCGCGCTTGCGAAAAGCCACTCCGTCATTTCAGCAGCAGTCGCGCAGTTTGCCAGCGATATGATCTTGCCAGCAGCCTAAATTAAAACCCTTCAACATGCCTCGGCTATGGATCTGGTTGCTTCCTCCTCCACAAGTGGCATGAGAAAGAAAGAAAGGGCTTCGGGTTTCGGGTGTAGGGTTTAAGGGGAAGTGGTCAGTGAGAAAGAACCGGACGGGGACTTCATGAAGACTCGAGCCGTAGCCAAGGTTGAAGAAGTGCTTATCAAGGGCTCAGGGCTCTAAGGCTACGGCATTCATCGAAACGAGTATGCTTGGCAGTGATCAATTTGGTCCTACTCACACTCCTGTAGTACGTGTGTCGGGAAGGCTCAGGGTCCCGGACTTGTGTTCCTCCGCAAGCTTCTCGGGCTTCGGGTTACCCATATTTACCCTAAACCCTAAACCCTAAACCCTAAACCCTAAACCCTAAACCCTAAACCCTAAACCCCAGGTGGCCCTCCCCCAAAGACCCCACCCTCTGCGGCCCCCCAACTGGCCGACGTTGTTCTTGCCGACGATGACGTCTAGGGTGACAGCCTTAGCTGAAGGGCCCATAAGGGGGTTGCCCAACTTTGCGGTACCCTTTTTGGGGTTCCGGCACAAAGGGGATAAAGTCATTAGCGCCCCAATGTTGGGAAAGCCATAAAACCCTGTGAGCCCGCAACCTTACCTAAGCCTGGTTCGTGGGGCCGGGGAGGGGGGGGCAGCTTGGCTTGGCACATCCCTAACCCTGCTGACCTGCTTCGGAAACCCTAAGTCCTAAGCTCTAAGCCCCGAAAACGGAAACTCCAAGCCCCGAAAGCAGTTGCAGTGAATCGCCCACAAGAAGCTCCGGAAAATGAGTCAAATCCTTAACTCCCTAAACCCGCAGTCCTCGAAACCCTGAGAAGAGACTCTTTGCGGGCTGGGGTTAGGGTATACCAGGATCTCTCTAGGATTTTAGGTTTAAGGCTTAGTGGAAGCCGTTGTTGCGGTCCATTACCACGATGATAATCTGAATTAACACTTGATTTCCAGGATTCCGCAAATCAGAAGAGGCTGATGCTAAGTCTCAAGAACAGACCCTGAACAATAAACCCTACGCCCTGCTCCGAGCAGGCGGCAACAGCTTTCGGTACTGAGCTGCCTCCCGAGGACATTTCTTCTTTTTCTGTGGCGTTCTTGTTGTGCCACTTGTGTTGAACGGGCCTTGTAACTGGTGTGGTGTAACTCTAAACCTGAAGCCCTAAATGCGGGATGGCTTGGATTTGGCTCACATTCCCCAAGCTCCACAGACTACCAAGATACGCTTGCGGATACGCTTGCGTGCAACTTACCTCTGTACACAGGACGACTTTTCAGATTGAGAGGGTCTTGGCACTACTTGCGCCAGGACACTTCAGGCACGAACTACGCGGCAGGTGACACTGTTTTCGGGGTGGTTTTAGGCCATGGCTTGGTCTGGCAATGCTGGGTGTGATGAAGCCCCCGGCAAGGAAAGAAACCTGAACAATTATATGAAAAAACTCCTCTCTGGTTTAGGGCTTTAGGGCTTTGTCGTGTGAGATGTATATACTCGTCCTGCAACATATGGCCAGAACCCAAGCCTGCATCGGCCGGGGCCATCTCCTGCGAAGCACTCTCGACCCTAAACCCCTGTCGGATTTGAGTTAGAGCTTTGGCAAACCCCCCCCCCTCTTTCTTTAGACTGCATGTCAATGTGTCTGAATCGGTATGGGTGCATGGTCAACGCGTCTACCCTCTGATGGGCTTGAGTTTGAGGGTATCCCCAGGAGAACTCGAAGCACAACCACAAGAAGACGAGAG